AAAATTCGAAGTTGGAGCTGTTTCAGAGTAGTAACGAATATTTCCTGTCTCACATATTTCTTGGCCTGCCTATATTTCATGATTTTTTTTTCTATTTGTTTTTTCTTTCCATACCTCATGATAGATAATAGAGTATGAAAATCGAATGAGAGCTTATTCCACACCCGACAAGATTTTCAGATATTTTTCGACAGTAAAAGTAATTCAGAGTGATACGTCAGAAGTTTACATGACCCCAGATGATTTTCTCAGGGCCATAACACCAGGAATGAAACAACCTGATGGTAAATAATAAGTGCTTTCGTGCTATTGCTTGGTGTTGGATCATACTAATCTTCTGCGTCTCTCATGTGTGGAGTAAGCCTTAGCAATAAATGAATAATGAAATTCTTTTTCATGCATGTGCAACAGATAATCGAATATGAAAATCGCATTAGACACTATTCGACACCAGACAAAGTTTTTCGCTACTTTGCCACTCTGCAAGTTCAAGGAGCTACAGTTGATCAGCATGAAATTTTCATGACACCTGATGATTTTTTAAGGTCCATGACTCCTGGTTTGAAACAACCTGACGGTTAGTCTTATTTCAGTTATCATTTGGTAGATGATTTGTGGGTGTTGTTTTAGTAAATAATATCTGGTAGTTACATATATAGATTATCTGCCCATTTTTCTGAGAAACCCTCGTCAGCTAGTCTACATAATGATTTGTTTTCCCTAGAAACATGCATGTTTATATAAGGTCTTTCATTAGGCGCTTCCCATCTCTAAATTTAACCCTTTCGCTGCGCATAGGACGAGAATCGTCTCTCGTACAGTTGACAGTATTTCTGGCGTTTGCGAACATACTCGTCTGGAGCAGTATAGTCCAATGGGATATGCAATTTAGGGAGAAACAATGTTTTATGATAATGAATCATTTATTAAAATAACAATTAAAGTTAAGCATTATTTATTTCCCTGCAATGCAAGAAAAATACAATATATTAGCAAGCTCACACATGTACCACGTTGTTATCGGCGCGCCGTAGACAATTTGCACGAAAAGCGCCGTTGCCGGCTCGTCGCCACACTACAAAATAAGTTGCCGCGAGAATTTGCGGCTGGAGCAGTCAGATCTTATTTTACTTTGAAATGCGAGTTTTCTCGTTAGGAGCAATAGAACGGCAAACGAGAATACTCGTCTTGAGCAGCGAAAGAGTTAAATAACACAGAGTGAGATATCATCGAAATTTTGTATTCGTTTGAAACACGTACTGATGCCATTATGTGTGGAATATACCATTGTTCGAATATCCGCAACGGCTTCTCTGGGTGTAGCGCATCCGAAACGTACAATTTTCCATTACTCTGGCGCATAAATCAGGCTTAATTTGACCGGTGGCGTGGGTTATGTTGGTTTCGAGGACAGCTGTGGTTTGTGGCTTTTTCACAAACACATGCGACCCCCACAAGGAAAAATCTAACGAGTACGATCTCGGTGGCCAGTTCACATCACTTCCACGTGAACGGACCATTCCCTCAAATCGCTCGTGCAGAATATCTAATGTGGCATGAGCTGTGTGGTACTTGGCGCCGTCCTGTTGAAACCACATGTCGTTGGTGTTCAGATCATCCAATTCAGGCCAAAAGACTTGGTAATCATTGACCTATAGTGCTCGCCGTTAACAGTGATGACCTGGCCAACGTCGTTCTCAAAGAAATATGGACCGATGACGCCGCCAGCCCAATATCCACACCAAACAGTGACTTTTTCAGGATGCATTGGACGCTCTTGGATCTCATGTGGATTGGTAGTGTTGCAAATTCGATAAATCTGTTTGTTCACGTACCCATTCCTCCAGAAATGGGCCTCATCGTGAAAATGATTTTTCGATGCAAATTAGGGTCAATTGCTAACTGCTCCAGAGGCCATTCAGCGAACACACGTCGTTGTTTAAGTAAGTTGAATTTTGTACGGGTGCAGGCCCAAGTCACAACGCAAAATTCGCCAAGTTGTGGTCTGCGAAAAACCGAGTTCTTGTGAGCGACGCGAAATCGCCTCGGGTTCTCCTGCACACTCTCACAGAGAGCGGCAATGTTTTCTGCAGATCTTGCGTATCGTCGATGTAGGTACGTGTGTTGGTCGATCATTTACTGAATCAGAGGACTCAAATTTATCCTTGTTCGATTGATGACCTATTTATTTTGTAGAAATTCATTTTGAATATAGAATAAAGAAAATAACTTTTGTCTAATTTCTACTAAGTTTATTATTTGTTACGACCGGTTTCGGTTTATTAGACCATTTCCATTATTCTATATTCAAATTTATCCACCACATTGCCAGTAGTTAGATTTGAATGTTTTGAACTTGATTTTGACCAAATAAATAAAGGTACATAATTTGAATTTATGTAAGGATGACAAATCTTATACATGTTGATTATAGGCTCGATGTAGTTTAACTGAATTCACACTTTATAATTTTGTTTTGGAGTTTTTTAATGGGTTAAAATAAGGAATTTGTTGCCAATTTCCCATAAAATGATTTTTTTAGAATTCACAGCTACGGTAACCATTCCAGTGGATGTTTCCCTACCTGATGATGTAAATAGAAGGATTTTGAATATGGTTCATGAAGACTTAACCAATCAACCTAATAATTTACTAACTTTCAGACTTTGCACCATCTACTGAATCATTAACTTTTGATAATATGCATGTTTTGCCTTCGCACCACTTATGTTTTTTCCTCTAAAAATTACTTAACCTTATCAAGAAGAAAGTCACACCGAGGGTGGAAATATCTGAACTAAAACTAAAACTTCATAGCAGTTGTCATACTAAAGGGTTGTTACCTCATCTTCACTTATGTTCCCATTCATACACGGACCGTTGAATCGATTTTTAGTTATTTGGCTGAAGCGGGATTTCAAAATAAATAAGCTGGTAGGAAGTACATAATCATTCAGCTAAAATTTATGGCTGGGATGATCAAAATTGAAAGTTGCATGTTCTCCCAGATTGCATGAAGAAATTTTCTTGAATTAGAAGGCCATTCAAATATATTTCCTTTTTTAGGTTATGGTTTGGATCAGTATAGACGATATGACCCTAAGGTAAGAAATAAAATTTTTAGTACCTGTCTCATTTCTACTATCCACATTTCACATTCTGTATTTTTATCCAAATAATTAATTTACCTCTGTAAATAAATCTCGTCTATTTTTATTTTTTCAGCACAGTTTACAGGTAATTACCCTCTCTCTGTGGAATGTCTTCTGCCTGCATGTCAATTTTTGTATAGCATGATATTAGTTTAACAATTGGCTTATGAATTAGATTTTTTTTTTCATTCAAAATTACAACGCAAATTCTCATCAACTTGACAGTTGAGTAAAATTTTTAATGCCGTAGTTTAGATACACTTGAAGTCTGTAGAAGAATGTTTTTAATACTATTTTATTCTTGATGTTGAGGTGAATTTCAAATTTCAAAGCTTATTCAAGGTGGGAAGATGGAATACCTATGGAAACTACAGAAAAATAGTATTTCTATGATGGGGTAAGAATAGAGAAAATAATACTGGTCGTTTCAAAAGTTTTGTCTGTTTTTATGAGTCTACTTCAAACCGTAATATCTCAGTGAATACTTATTCAAGTTAATCGAAATAAGCGCCATTCGAATCAGTACACTTCTGCCAACGTACACAAGTCGATTGATTCCATCAGCATAAAAATTGGGTACTCGGGATTCGATGAGGTCGACGAAGACCGTTTTTGCCGGGTCCTGATTGGCGACGGATCTACCGGGGAAAAAGTTATCGAAGTGCTTGAAAAGATGATATTCGGATGGCAAGAGGTCTGGGGGGTTAGGTGGGTGAGTATGATGGGACGATGATTTGTGAAACGTCCGGACGGGCGTTATCGTTGAGCAGGATCGGACCTCGTATGTTGACCAATGTCGGCTGCTGCTGATGCAATTTTCAGTACATAACGACGTCATAAGTAACGAGTTTCGAAAAAAATTAAAAGCTTCAATGTATGGGGTACAAAATTCTCTATCGATTTGTATATTCCACGACACAGTAGTATACATTTTTATCGAGATGTGAAGCCACAAAAACTCATGACATTGAAACTGACAAAACTCTTGAAACAACCTAATATAATGAATTATTGTTACCAGTGTATCCTTTTTTTTAAATAAAAAGGTGGAAACACCTTAAACATAGATTATTGTATTTGGAGAATCTCAGATGTGAAAATTAAGATTGCTATCATGACCGCGACCGCTATTCTTGAGTTTCAAAGAGTAGAAATGTCATGACTTGAAATGGGTATCGTTTCGAAATACCGTATTCTCGATATCACAAGCGGTCTTGGAGTAAAAACAGAAATCACAGCCTGGAAAGTCAGTGCTTTGGAATGTCTATAATGTTGAAGGTTTTGTTTGTTCATTAAACTTTATACCAATTTAACTAAAATGAGAATGCAGAAGAAGCCATAGCATTTTGACACAGATGTTCTTCCATTATGCGAATTCTTCGAAATATCTAATCGCAAATTCAAGCAGTAACAAGGCTTATTTAATGTATATAACTAAGAAAAACGTTTTGGCTTTATACTTCTCTATCTTCATCACATTTTGTGGAAGGAACAAGGAGTTTTGTAAAACTCATGAATCAGGACATCTCTGGTTATGAAATATATTGCTCTATAACTTATTGGGAGTATAATTTTGAATTTTAATAATATCTTAAGTTATTCTTCGTTAATGTCAGTGATGATGATAATATATCCCTGATTCAATTTATTCACTTCGTGTACTTTTTTGATTAGACGGTACAGCAGAAACTTGATCTTACTCTAGATGAAGATAGTATATTTTACAAATTGGGCAGTTCCGGACTCATTACTTTTTCTGACTACATCTTCCTGTTGACGGTATTGTCAAGTAAGTACAAATTAATTTTATTTATTTATTCGATTGACCTAAAACTGAATAGATGATTTCAATTTTGAAGATTTCGATTAAGAAATACTTTTACTCATTTTTGTTTACTCATATTATAGTGTTGACTATTTTGATAATTCTTGTGTTGACTAAGCAATATGAAAAAGAAATGAGAATTGAATTCGTTATTTCAAATATTAGTTTGGATTAATGTAAATTCTAGGAGGAAAAAAATATGTTTGACCAATGTACTCAAGTAGGGATTGTGGTTTTATCTTTGTTGTATTATTGATTTCTCTTATAAATTGTTTCATCAACTTTCTAGGTCTTGATGTTTGTTGATCTGTTGTGTCAAACTGATTATTGTGTTAAAAAAATTGTTGATTCTTGCTAGTGAAGTAGAAGCAAAAAAAGAACTATTACTAAAAGCCCCTAACCTTTATATTGGAAAAAATATAGAGATGAAACGGATAGCAGTTTAGCCGGATACCGGTCAACCTTGAAGCCGGATATTAGGTCGCCGAATATCCGACAGATTGTTGCCATTTGGTACATCGCAAGAAGAATGCTTGCGTAGGCGGCGCGCGAATGTGAGGGTGGGTGGTCCAATTCTCAACTTTTCCTTATTGAAAATTTCGAAGTTAACAATTGATTCCTTTATTGGCTTATTGTATCGATTGTAGTGCATCTATCTTTCAGCACCTTGCAGCAGTGTGTACAGCAAAATACTTTTTTCTGAAGCTGGCCTTATTTACGAAGACAAGCGAAACCGCTTCCTATCTCTTAATGCAGAGAAATTAGTATTTTGTTCGATTGATGACCTATTTATATTATAGAAATTCATATGGAATATAGAAAAGAAACCTCTCTAATTTCTATTTAGTAAAAGTTAGACAAAAGTTATTTTCTCTATCCTATTCCCATAATTTGCCCTTAGTGCAGGAAGACTACTAATTCATTTTCTAAGTTGTAGAACTATTGTGTGGTACTGATTGTATTTTTTAAGTGATACTAATTAAATAAAGCAATTAATCACCTGAAAATATATTATTAATATTCCGGTATTCTGCCGGATACTGGATATCCGTATCATCTCTATAAACTAGGCTGAGCAAACAAGGTTTGAAAACCTAAACACTCTGTAGTGTAGTGATCTTTGATTCGACATTTTTGTAGCGTCTCGTCGTCACTTTGAGATTGCGTTTCGTATGTTCGATTTAAATGGTGATGGAGATGTAGATTGCGAAGAATTTGAGAAGGTTGCCACTTTAATTCGACAACAGACTAGCATAGGATCACGTCACAGGGATCACGCAAACACTGGTAACACTTTCAAGGTAAGAATACTAGAAATTAACTGAAAACTTGAACCAATTGAAGCGTTTGTTGAAATTATTACTGAAAATATGAATTCAAATCTCAGTGTCAACTTTCAATACCTGAAATTGATTGTTTGCAATCCTTTCTCTCAATTTTGGTGGACACGGGCGGTTTATGGTGCCAGCGAGGCAAGCAAATCTTGTAGATTAAAAAAAAATGTTATCAACACTATAGGTGTATAAGTGTTCAACAAGATTCAATAATCTAGTCTCTAGTCACATGATCTTAAGGAAATTCAATATGTTTGTTCAAGTATTGATGGCTAGATGCACCTATGGAGAGGCATGATATATTGGCTCTACCTACATCATGGTAATTAAACCCATGATAACATATCGCAACTAGTATTTCTAAAGTGACAAAACTCAAAAATCGGTATTTTTGAGTCATGACTATGAAAAAAATCGGTAAATATTTCTTTATCGATAATCTAAACTGTATCAGTTTAGATGATCGATAAAGAAATATTTACCGATTATTTTTATAGTCTCATCTCAAGAATGCCGTTTTTTTTAGTTGTGTCACTTTAGAAATACTAGTGCGATATGTGTCTACGGTTTGGTGGCCAAAAATGAAACAAACAACAGCTATTAACAAACTGAGCAGGGTGCAGACTTGCATGTTTGGCTTTGCACATAGCTCAAGGTCGTGTGACGTCGGTCAATGTCAATGCCATTAATTATGTTATAGTAGTGGGAGGTGTTCGACAACCGGCTATAATCTCCTACTATATGATAGAAATCAATTCGGTTCCCTTTTTCAAATCCCTATAGAAAACACATGAAAAAATTGAACATTATTGTATATGTCAAGTTCAGCATATTTCGAAATTGAATGACAATTATTCAAGCATGGGTTTTGAGTTATTTCATTTTTTTTCAATTTTCATTCATTTTGATTCATAGCAATGACAGAATTTATGAAAAAGATAGTGTCTTCATTTATTTCAGGGAGTCAATTCAGCATTGACTACTTATTTCTTTGGTCCAAACCTGAAGCAAAAGCTGACAATCGAGAAGTTCTTAGATTTCCAAGAAAAACTTCAACAGGAAATTTTGAGTTTGGAGTTTAATCGAAAAAAACCGGACGAAAATGGAAATATTTCTGAGGGGGATTTCACTGAACTTCTTTTAGCGTATGCAGGTTATCCCCAAAAGAAAAAAGCTCGTATGTTGAAAAGAGTTAAGAAAACGTAAGAATAAGTAAATTGATGTTATGAATTCTGAATGATTGGTTGATTTTGATTTTATAAAATGATTTAAAATTTTGTTCGTTTGACTTTTAACTAAACTTGGTTATATTCAGTTTCAGAGACCATAGTCTTGGGATATCTAAACAAGATTATCTGAACTTTTTCCATTTCCTGAACAACATCAACGACGTAGATACTGCATTAACTTTTTACCACATCGCCGGAGCTTCTATTGATCAACAAACTCTCAAACATGTAGCTAAAACTGTGGTTCATGTTAACTTAAGTGATCATGTTATTCACGTAGTATTCACCATATTTGATGAAAACTGTAAGTAATATTTTGAGTATTCAAAAATGGGTAAAATTTTGTATCCCGTCTACTTGATATTTTAAAATTAGTGGTCTGACAAAATATTCCGAATATATTGATTGGGTAGCAAGCAATCAAAGTCCTTGAATTGGATTTGTTTGTTGGTACAAAAATATTCCGACTAGAGATCTGCTACCACTGTTTCAATTCACATATTCAAATGAAATTTTTTATTTCAGTGGATGGCCAGCTGAGCAACAAAGAATTTATAGCAGTCATGAAAAATCGTCTTCTGAGAGGTCTTGAAAAACCCAAGGATACTGGATTCATTAAATTCATGCAATCTGTTCTCAAATGTGCCAAGGAAACAAGACCTGCCTTGCTAGATATTTGAAGTTACTATTATTATAACATGTAACTGACATATTTCTCAATATTATATAATGCAAACATGGACTGTTTCTGATCGATCTAAATCTTATATAGAAAATGAATACTGCTTAATTGTAAATTGCTACAGAGGTATGTTTATAGTATTCTTTTTCTTTGAATGATATTTTTTGTTTTTCTGTTAGCGTTGAATTGAAATAAATATTTATTTATTGTGTTCTTATGATTTTTCCCAGTTGAATTATGAAGTGAAAATTTCAAATCAATTAATATTTCCTTTATTTTTTTTCACATAACTCGATAGACCATGTCCTGATGCAAAAGGTTTTATTACCAAAAACATTGTTATATCGAAAAACTTTGGCATCTGCTAAACTGTAACGTTGAAAAAACTGGAATTGTTATATCTCCCCTGTACTATGATAGTCTCATGCCTGTAAAGTTATATATCAAAAAAATTGTCAGGAGTGTCAACGAACAAATTGGCATCATTAGAAAATGACTTGAAACTAATAAATCATCCCAGAATTTTTACAGTGGAAATAGCAAAACGTAAAATATCGTGACATAACTGACGTTGAGTGTATGAGTGACTTAACTGCCAGGACGTGAATCTCTCCATCTTATTTTAGTTATTGGAATCACTGTTCTCTCTTCATAGGCCAGTCCATATTTTGACGTTACTTATGTGATACACCAGTGAAATTGCGCCAAAGAGGCTAACTTATACTAAATGTTCTCTGGTTTATATAAAAATTGAAATTAGCAATTTACAAAATGCTTATGTTCTACACTGCTGACACTTGTCAATTCCGTTACTGTTCCCATTTTGTCTACCAAAAATAATCATCAGATTCATTGTAAACTATTCAGTGACGTCATTTGAAAGCTTTTAGGAATAATCGGTGAATTTTGTCTGTTGAAAAAAGGATCACGCGTTATTTTGATCGAGCCATATCGAACAGATAGAATGAATACTCTTGCGATAACCATTCCGTAGATATTTATGGATATAGGCTGTTCACGTTAAGAAGAGAATGACGTCATTTTTGGTAATTTTGTATGTCCGTTAAAATTCCCACTGAAATGCGTTCAACAGCAATGAAACTAGTAACATTTCATTTTGTAAGTTGCTCAACTGATAGTAAAAGACGTTGCCAAATCGAAACAAACTCAAAAACTGTCAGTCTTTCTTTTCTTTTCAGAACTGATTATTTCGTTTGATAAGACCTGCGTATATTCAATTTGCCTAAAGCATTGTCGAAATAATCCCAACAAATACTAAAAGTGAGTAAGGATAATAGCAATAAAACATATCAACAGTACAAAAAAATTTAAAAGTTCAAAATAGTGCACATGCTGGCAACGCCGTAACTTGTCATCTTGTGACGTCATTCTCTTCCTAACGTGAACAACCTATATTTCGATTATTATTGAAATAGTTTCGTTGATGCGTCATATTTCAGGTTCATTGGCAACTCTGCAAGTAAATGTCAAAAGTGACAGATGGGGCGGAAGATGTCAACACCGTAAAAAAAACTCAAATTTGAAGTTGATGGTAATTGAAATAATATATTTTATTGTATTATTAGTGATTTTTGTATCTATTTTCAATCGAGCCTACTTCTTTATAATTTATAGTTGCAGGATATTGTTTAAAATGGAGCCCGAAGATGCTAAGTATATGAGAACGTACGTTCAGACCTTTAAATTTTTTCCTTATTTAAATATTTTGGAATTTCAGGGAACGAAAACCTGGTTCTATCGACGTTCACCCCAATTTTGATGCTATCGTTCTGAATTATGAACTGGATGTTCAGATTTTGGCGTCTAAAGAAAATGCCATTTATGGTGAAAAGAAGGTGAAATTCTCATGATTCATAAAGTGTGAATGCTGATTGCATGAATATTCTTCTTGGACAATGAACATAGATGTATTCAAATTGTTCTGCAAAATGGAACTTCTCAATTATTTATCCAATATAATTATTGCCTTTAGGATAATTAACCAGTTACACAAAATGCTTTACACTTTTGTTGATTTGTTTTAGATTGGATACTCTACCTCATCTAATATACATGTTTCCAACATTAAACAATTCACAATTAATCTTCTGATGACTCGATTATTAGTGTAGCCAGAATTTATTGACTTTATGAGTGTCCTCTGGTCTACGGCAGTTTCACTGTAGTCTGCTCTACTGAAATTGTTTTTAAGATCATTATACCCCTTATAGGGCAATATTAGAACAACAAATATAGAAGAAAAGCAGTACTACTTGAACAAAGGCTACTTTACATACTGTGAAATGTGAAAACAGAAAATATTTCACATTTTGCATCACTTGCTTGAAACTATTACAAAATGAATCACAAAAGTTACAAATCTCAAAATTATTACACATTCTGCTGATTGATGAACTAATTTGTAGAAGCGTGAAATAGACTATAAGCAATAAATTGATGGATGTAGCTGTTACTACGTGGTAGGAAATCATCATGAAAAATGAAAAATAAAACACTTGTATTTGTTACTAATGTTACTGCAGTTTTGTCCTATAAGGACATTTTCAGATGAATACAAGTTTATTGGTTATTTTAGTTTATTGTATTTGTTTAATACAAGTTAAATACAAGTAGTATAAAATCTTAGGAAGACTAAGCGTCTTCCAATTTCTCAAAGTTGAATCTGTCCATCATCAACTGATGATACTGAGAATCAAATTAGAAAAATTAGAACAAGGTTCTTATCAGTAAAGCCAGAAACAATTACATGACAACCTCAGAGATATAAATATAATATCAGGAAAAGGAAAAACTAGTTTTCATACTTTTGAAAATGCCAATTACTCTTATCCAAAAAGCGTGGTGAAAAATACTCGTCCAAACAATATCAGTCAACAATCCTGAGAAATCAAAAAAGATCTAAACATCATTTATTTTACGTCAGCGTAAATTTTAAAAATGCACAATTTTCAGAACCTCAAAAAAATCATTGATCTACCTATGATCAATAGTAGAACAGATTGCCATGCAATGTCCAAAGAAATTGTTAACCAGTGTGACTTGATACACCATTCTCGACTTGCTGAGGTTGAACAAATCATATATTATTTAAAAAAGAGAAAACTTCAAAATGGCATTAAGGGTAAGTACCTATAATAATTCATTGGGCCACTATTCAATGATTTCGTTGATAATGGTACTGAAAAATTCAGACATTACAGGTATTTATTATTTTCAAAAGACCTAAAATTTACGAAACCATGGTTATTATAAATGACCATGACATGAGAATTTAAAAAAATGCCTATTATGCAACCTTTTTCAGAATTGTTCCGTTTACTCCTATAATTTAGAGAGGATTAAATTAACGTTCTTGTAATGATATGCATATAAGGTCTAATGTTAGTAAAAGCTGAGTATTACTGAAGTTTTTTTTCCATAACACCAAATCGTTATTTTAACACCTTGACACGTGTTTCGATCACCAAGTGATCATCATCAAGAGGAACACATGTCGAGGTGTTAAAATAATGGTTTGGTGTTGGGAAAAAACTCCAGTAATATTAATTTCTACGCCAAGGGTTCCAAACAGTACATCACAAGTTAGTAAAAGCTATCAATTAAACATTGTAAAATTGAGTAGTAGCCTCTGTCACATAGATGGTTTAAAAAAGGTACAGATATGCTGCTTTCGAAATGCAAACCACTGGTGAAACTTACAAATACAACTCAAAAATTCATTGACTCTTCCTAATCACACAGATATTACCTTGGAATTTCTTGAGTGATAAGACTGGGTAATTAGTTTAATAATCTAATACTTCTGTCTAATTGACGTCATTCAAAACTTGACTGAATTGTTTTTGTATTCAGGTGCTTCAATTAATTTGGGAGAAATGGACAAGAGTACAGAAAAAACTAGTAATGGCAACTTGGAACCAAATTACAATAATTTGTCCGACTACATTGATCTTTTGTACGAAGGAATGACCGAAAAGATTAAAGGGGCTCAGTTGATACAACTACTAGCTAGAGATCCCGAAAATTTAGAAGCTTTGGCCAGAAACGGTAAGAGTCATGATTATCATGTAAAATAGGTATAACTATTTAATAGGATCCTTATAAATTATATTCAGTGGTTCAAAAAACTGTCTTGGAGTATAAAGTTGTATAGTTAGGTACGTTTTAATTATTAGTTAGGTTTTAATTTCTTTGACAGATGACAACATCTGTTACAATTTGGTGACAGCAGTGATTTGAGAGCGATAATATATACTTTTATTTTGAACGTAGCACACTTCTTTCATTTATTTGTTGTTCAGGGTATCCAACAAATATTAATTTTTGATTTTTAGTTTAGATATTCTGTATAAGTTTCATCTATTCAATTTATACAACTATTCCGTTATGAGTATATTATGATTTATCTTGTGAAATGAAACAAAGAATCTGCATATTTGAAATCCCAACAGTTTTAACAGTTGAAATGATTCTGAAGAAAACGTTTTTTCCGCACCAGAACAAAAACACTGTTTCTCGATGTACATAACGCTAACCAAGTTAGCATCATCAGGAGATTCATAAAGACTAAATTTATATCTAAAATAGGTCTACTTGTACATGTGCGTTATCCAATGAGGTTCAATGAATGTACCTGATATCTACCTGGTCTCTTTTTGTAAGGCTGTGAACAAACAAAGGGCTATTCATAGATCTCATTCAGACCAATTCATTGGTGTATTTTGATTCATATAGAAGAACTATAAACTATGAACCTTTTTGAAAAGTCGAGGATTAACGAAGATAACCTCTAAGTTTTTGAGTCCATTGACTATGTTTGAAGGTTTTTCAACAATAATTAACAAGTCTTACATTAAGTACTCATTTAATTTCTCATGATTTCAGAAACATTGATAAGTGCTCTAGGACGTGTTTTAAGAGAAGATTGGAAAAGAAGTATTTCGCTGAGCACTCACCTGGTTTTTACTTTTTTCTGTTTTTCAATGTATTCTTGCTTCCATGATGTCATTTTAAAGTGTAAGGTAAGTTGTAGTTAGCAAGATAATGAAACATACTAAGCGTCTTCCAATTTCTCAAAGTT